CCTAAAATATAAAATATTTTAGGAAATCGATTTAACAAATGATGACGATGAAGATTTGGATGATAAACGTTCGTATAATTATATTATTTTATTTTTTTTTAAAATTAAATTTTCTCATTTTTAAGAAATAAATTATGATTATGTAAATGCAATCTTTATTCCACGACGAGATTTTCGTGATTCTCATTCATCACATTGGCAATCACGTTTTCTTGGTTTTTCAAATGCTGATTCAATTGTTCGACAACTTCGACAACAATTACTTGCTATTGATCGTCCACATATTGAACAATGTCAAACACAACGTGCTTGGTTAACACATGCTTCACGTATTTGGGATCTAATTACAAAATCAAGTCAGGTAAGAAAATACGTCTACATATATAAAACATACATAATTCAATTTTATATATATATATATATCAAATTTTATTTATTTTGTCTAGTGGGCCGATTTTAGTCGTTTATTAACATGAAATAATTGATAATAGATGTCCATTAAGAAGGACAAATACGGCAAAAAAAGCAATACTTAATACCAATCTGAATGGCAAAATGATTGCTGACCGAGCAAAATAAAATCAAAAAAAAAAAACCATGGGCATGCTAGTGCATGATGAGAAAGAAGATGATGGCAATTATAGAAATGAAATGACCTTATACAAGATTATTAAAAGAAATAAAATGGTACTAGTTAACTACAAAATGCTAGGCTATTATTATTATGGTCATTAAATTTTTTTTCTCTTTGGCTTTTTTTTCTCTCTTGTGCATCTTTTTCATTCTTTGCTCTTGTTTCTTTTATTTTCTTGCTATACTACTACGATTTTGTTTTCTTATATTTTTCTTTTTTGGCTTTTACTTAACATAAAGATGAAAAAACTCTCTTTTTTTTTTGAATAGGTAAAATGAAAGAAAACACAAAAACAAAACTAAGATCGATATAATTCTAATATTTACATTGGTTTCTTTCTTTTTTTTTTTCTTTCTTTCTCGTGATTCAAGTGTGGATTTTTGATTATTTGTTGTTGTCATCATATTTCTTTTTTTTTTTTCTTTTCTTTCCATTCGGTATATATCTATGTTTATGCTCGGTTTGTTTGTCTGATCTAATAAAGAAACAAAAAAAGATGTAATGCCGAATACTATTCATGATAATAAGATCAAAAGCAACCGATGATATATTGGGCTTGAATGTCATCATCCTAATACTGATTCATTGACTAGTATGATCATAATACTTCGCATCTTTCTATTCTCTTTCCTAGTTTCCAATTAGCTTCGACATGGGGTGTACACAAATTTATCTTGAATAGAAAGAAAGCAGGACAAGAATAATTAATAATAGATAATAAATAAACTTTTTAGTCTTCTTATTTTTTTTTGTTTATTCATTCTTTTGTATTATCAATTGAATTTCTTTCACAATATATTTTATGATTGAATACTAAACAAACAATACAACTCTATTTTAAAGTCATCACTTTATTTTTTGTTTTCTCAACAACAATGAACGATAAATTAAGCATAAATTTACATTTTTCTACAAACATTAACATATATATGTAGATCATATGTTCCTTCATCAATCAAAATAATATTAGTTTATCGCCATTTCAAATTACATATTCCGATAAATTCTTCATTAGAATTTAAATGTATGGATAAATCATAAATAAATAAATAAATAAATAACTGTGGTCATGTACTCATATGAATGTCATATTCATGTTTTCTTCGCTTCATTAATGAATTCAATATAATATTGTCAAAAAAGAACAAAGTTTGTTGAGCATGACGATTCATTATCATAAATTTTCTATAATACTGATATGAGATCTTTCATAACAATAAGAAAAACAAGAAGAAAACAAAAATAAAGCGTAGGCTTCGGAAGTCAACAAAATTAAGAAGAAGAAAAAAGAATAATAATAATAGTAATACTTTTTAGTGATAAATAAATACTGTATTGGTCTATTATCTGTCGACACCACAATATATACTATATCTCTTAAGAGTTATTTTTTTTTTTCGTCTTTTGTTGTTTTGCTTATTTATTCGTTTCCTTTGTTTTTAATGAAGGATATAATATAATTCTTAGAATATAGCAGTATTATATCGTCCGACTATTTTAATATAAGTCTAATCATTCAAAAGCATGTCTTATTAATTAAATTGATTATTTATTTTATTTTTTCAATATAATATTTATAACTACAATGTACTTAAGTTAAGCCAATAAATATACGATTACCTCCGATAGAAATTCCATTCTTTTATAAATAATAATAATAATAGCCTAATGATCTTTGAAAAACGTATTATACAATAATAATCAAATTGAATAGGTAAGATATTTACTATTTAAACAATTGTAATCTCTTTTATATGAATGTTCTTTTGTAATATGTTTTATTGATTCTATAAATATATTGTAACATACTGTGTTGTTAAAGTTACAGCAATAATGATCGATTAGTCTGGTGATACACTAGTACATGTAAAACAAGTCTTTTGTCAATGTCAATCAGAAATATAAAAGATCGGTACGACTAATTGAAAAGAATGATGGAAATCCGAAGATATATAGGCTTGATAATTGTATGAGGCACTGAAGATTTTCTATCATAATCATATTCTAATTTTCTTCGCCTTTTTTTTCTTCTTTTGTTTGTGTCATCAAAAGCATATGTATATTGGTGTTTTTTTGTTCTTGTTGTGGACAAATGCACCGACTTTTTTTTTAGATACAAGCTTGATTATTTTTTTTTCTTTTGTAGTTTTTGGTAGTATTTTCCAAGGGAACAAGCCAGCAAGAGAGATTGAGAGTTGTGACATTGATTTAATTTCCGTTATTGATGGGGAAATGAAAAATAAAGAGAGAGAGAAAGACGAGGAGGAGAACACAATGAACAACAGGTAATTACCCTCCTTTAAAAATCAAGCAAGTGACGCACAGAAAAATTGCATTTGGCGCTCTTGGCCTCGCTTTTTCTGCTTATAAATGCCACTTAGCTAAATGATTGACTGTGGCAGGATATTTTTTGTCTCGGTAATCAATCATTATTCCTTCGAATGAACGTTAGATTTTTTTTCTCTATACTACTCTATTTTCTCCCCTGTCTCTTTCTCTCTATTTCTCTCCCCTTCTCTTTCTTTTCGGAAAATGCACGCACACACATATATACACTATGACACGGCCGATTATTCTCATAGACGTCATAAGTTCTTCTCTCTCTCTCCCTCTCTCTCTCTTTGTCGACGCGTCGCTTCAAGTTTCTGTATTACTACTGCACTCTATTGTCGTTATTACCAGAAAAGTAGTACTTAAACAGATCGTTTCTCCGCTTTATCATAGCTACTCGGAAGTCGAATGCATTTTCGGTAAACAGTATTAATATAAAAAAAATACAAATTGTCTAAATCATCTATACATTTATATATTTATTTATTATAACGATTATTCTTCAAGAAAGACAAAAAACTATTTCATTCATCTTTACTGAGTATTATATCGAAGAAATCAGTAGATAAATCATCTTTGTACAAATATCTCATTTTGACATCGATCGGAAATCAACATACAGAACAAAAAAATATTAAAAAAAAAAATAAAAGAGATCTTTAACAAATCATCGTTCGTTTTTTGTTTTGTTATATTCAACATTTATCATACAATTGCAGATTGATCATCAACTTTCTTATCTTAATCAATTAAGAAAAAGTAAGTAATATTAAATATCTTCTATAATTATTTATGTTTTCTTATACTATAAAAATCTTTGATTATTATCAGACATATTCGACATCAAATGTAAATACTAAAGAAACCATAGTTGTTTTTTCTTTTGTTTTGACTATTGTTGCTTTTGTTTTGTTTTTTTTTTACTATTTGATGTTGAAAATTGAGACAACAACGACATATTGCGATCGTGATAATCATAGTGTGGGCGTTGTTCATTTAGACTATCGTGCAATTGCAAGTTGATCAATATTTATTCTAGCATAGTTAACTTTAACATATTTGCCTCTGGAAAAATCAGTTCTCAATCTCGTTTAGAGGTAACTCATCTATTATGCTGATTTTCATCGATGTAACTATCAATAAGTAATGCAATAAAAATATATATAAAAAAAAAACTCTTTGACTTAAGGGCTTTGAGATATGTGACGTTAATCTGATTTAGTTTTCTCCTTTATTTGCTCTTGTTTATGGTGGTCGTACTGGCAGGCAAATATATACACACATGTTTGCTTGATTATCATCTTATCGTTGGAACTGTATGTGTGCTTTTGGCCACCGAACAAATTTGCAAATATCGACAATATATCAAGTCTTTTGTCGCTGTTGTCTTATGACTGGTGATATTAACATTATGTGTACAAAAATAAAACTAACAGATAGATTGTTGCTTTTATATATATTCTCATTTATCTTCTTTTGTTAAAGATCACTAGCACTTATAGATACGTATATATATATATATATATATATTGATATATTTATAGATATTAGCTTGTCATTTGAAAAGTAATTTTGTTTGAATAATATTTTGTAAATCATATTGGGAAAAATTTTAATTATTTTATCAAATTATTCGTTTCGCTGTGTTTGAATTAAAAAACATTTCATATAACTCTGGTGGATTGTTTATTGAAGACAGTTGGCATTGACAATGCATGAAATAGCACATACGCGTCGTCATCATCACTAGTACATCATCAACCACATCAAGTACGATCTACATACATGTATATGAGAAACTCTCCAGCGAGAAATGGGATGCGTCGTATAAAAGTGCTATATTAGTTATAACAACATTTTTTTATGCTAAAAGGAGAAACGAACTACAAATATTAATCTTAGTTAAGTGGATGTTTTCTGTTTTTGTTCTAAAAGACACAAGATTACGAAAAAAAAAAAAAAAGAAAACTTCTTTATTTGAAAAAAGAAACCAATTCTATGAACATTTATACTTTCGAAAAAAAAAAAAAAAATTTTATAATTCAAACGAATCAATTTTCATATATCGTTCATAAATTTTATTCATTGATTTCGATGATGATAAATGTTTATTTATTATTGGTGATGAATTATTTGAATGAATTGTTAACATATATGGATGAACAAATTTAATATTTTTTACTGAACGCATTTTTATTATACTAACAATAAGTATAATTATAATTAATAAAGCACTAAGAAGTAAACCAATGAATATAAATGGTAATGATAAAATTAATTCATTTAAATGAATAAGAATCGATTTTTGTACACATTGTTTTTGTCGACATATATAACCATTCGGACAAGTTTCAATTGATTTTTCATAAAGACATTCAAATAATACAGGTAATTCACAATGATGCATATTATTTAAAAGTATACGTTGTGTACCTAATGGACATTGACAATTGAAATCAATTTGACCTGTATGAATTTGATCAGATATTCGACATATACGACGACAACGTTCTGGTGTTAAAGAACAATTCGAACCAAGTTCTGTATCAATACAAAAATTTTGAAATTTTTCTATACCAATATCATGTGAACGACATTGACAAGTATTTGATAATGATGAACATTCATATAATTTTGAATGAATACATGTATGTTGACATGATGAATTAATTAATTGTTCAAATTCAATATGAATATGAAATATTTCTGATGTAGAAATATTTTCTTTCGTATCTAAACGACAATTTTTTAAAGACATAATTGATTGTTTAAAATAAGCTCCACGTATTGGAATAAATTTTGATGAAGAATATTCTTGAAAACGAAATGGTACAGTTGTTATACGTGTTGATTCACTTGTTCGAATTGTTAAATTTGACTAAAACAAAAAAAGAAGAAAAATAATATTTAGTTTGTTGAAAATCAAACAATTTTTTTTTGTTAAACTTCTATTAATTGAAAAGAAAATGTATCGATTTAGTTCGATTATCAGAAAATATGAATCAATCTTATCTTTGTAAATGAAACAATAAAAATAAATACTATACAACTAATAGGAAATGTTTATTTAATATATATATCTTGGAATTTTATATTATAAAACATCATTACTTCATTTAATCTTTTTAGGATAGAATTCATTTATTTTTAGAAACAAAAATAATACAATATGAAACTAATTACAGTAAATTAATTTTCATTTTAAATCAGTATTATTGATTTTTTAAAGATATATGTCATTTGTACTCAATCATGAAGCAATGTCAATTAGATCTATGATTAGCAATATGCGCATCAATAGATCTGAATTGTTTCAGAATGGGAAACGCCTTTATGCATCTCTTCTTTTCGGAAAGAATTAATATCAAGATTTTGTATGTTATAGTAACCTATTTTTTATGATTTATGAAGTTTAAGATTAATTATGATTATATAATAATTTTATTGCCTATATTGAATATTCAATACATCAACATATCACGAAATTTTTGATATTATATTTGAATGTTATTGTTGAAAGTGTCGACAACGTTTAATAATTTATGATTATTGCCATGGGAAAGAAAATTTGGTTTCTCTTTTTGATAATTGTAACAGATTCATACATAAGCAGACAAACAAATACTTTCAGCTGTTACATTAGAATATAAAAGTATCGTAACATATTTGTTAAGCCCTCAAGCAATTCATAATGTACATACAGGTAAATAAAAAGCTGCAAATGAATATACATAACATATTCATTTTTAGATGTTTGTTTTTTGAATTGCTTCTTACACTATTTCGTTTTGTTTCAATCAATGAAAAATAAAATGTCTCGTATTTATGTTATAGTAATAATAGTATTGAGAGTTGTACTATGAAAACATATTGTAGTCTATCTAGTATACATTTATTCATCGTTTTCTTTTGTAAATACAGCTATACATATAACTCATTCAATAGAATATTTTTATCTTCGGGTGTATTTTTTTTTTCTGTGTCTAAATCATTTATTGATTAGTAATTATTTGAGAACATATTCAAAAACTGATTGATGATCGAAAATGAAATCTCTCAGTTTTAAGATACAAGAATAAATTTTATACATTTGAATTCAATTGAAAACGAGATCATTATTCACTTTTTTGAGATTTGAATTACACATTCAAAATGTGCCATAACCAACATTTCGCTCTGAAAATTTACCATTAAACGGATTCGGATTCTATTCATATTGCAAAGTATGTTACACTTCATGTTAGTATCTTTAGTTATATCTTGGTTTTTTCTTTTTCGTTAACTTACACGAATGTCAATAATGGTAAATTCACAATCAACTGGTGCGTAAATACGTTCACTTTGTGAACATTGAAAAAGAAGAGGTACAGGTACTAGATATGTATCTGCTAGACGATAAATAATACCAATAGAAAGTGACGAAAATGATTGATTTGATAATGCATATAATGGTTGAACAATTAATGATGTTTGATTTTTATCAAGTTTGAATATATTTGAATGTGTATGATAAAATGTTCGAACAAATCGACAATTATAAAATATTTTTGCATGATTAAATTGTATAGAATATAAACTGATGAATAGACAAACCAGAAGTCGCATGATGGATGATGTGATCGATAGCTGTTTTCCTTATGTTTTCTTCTTTCTCTGGTCACATATATACAAACAATAATTGAATATGTCCTTGCCGTTGATGTGTTCAATCATATATGTTTACTCTTCTACTTGAATATGTATATAAATATACATATGAAAGTTCAAGCCGGATGTTATTGTTATCGAATAGAAACAAAAGGAAAGAACAATAGAATGAATACATATATATCATATTAATTTAGAAAATCATAAACAAAGAAATTCATATTAAATAATAAGATTCTCATCAATAATATAATAACAAAAAGAAATTCATATCATATATTCAAGTTAAATCAACTTTTATTTTTCAATATTGTTCATTCATTTCAATAAACTCATCGATTGTTTTGATTTTTAATGAATAACTATTTGAATATTTTCAAAAAGTCATTCATAGGACATGTTGATCAATCATCATTAGCGAAATGATGAATGATAATGCAATGAAGATATTATTCTCAAAAGATTCATTATTGAACATAATTAAATCATAACATTGATGTGATAAGACATGTTCATTTCGTCGATTTTCTTTTTTCTTTTTATTGGAATCAACAACGTTTCTTATTATTTTGATTGACATAATAGAGAATTTTTTTTGAAATTGATTTATTCAAAATAATATCGAATTTTACTTGCTAAACTATGTAATGACGTTGATCGATTTTATTTTTTGTTTTACTTGTTGAGTTAATCAATTTTATCTGTAGGCGTATAATTAATAAAGATTGTAATAAATAAAAATTTAGGTTGTTATGCTTTTATTTAGTGACTGATTGAAAATATAGAAAGGCATATCGGATTCGTCTTATGAGGAAAGTCTTCAACCGTTTAATCGCTTTTGAGTTGGAATCATATGCATCATGTAGAATTAAATGAACTGTGAATATTGTTACAGTTGAGAGTTTAGAATGTGTGAATTCATTTTAAAAACAAAATTTCTCTTAGAAATAAGATGAACTAATGGATTTAGATAAGAATTCAGAAAATCAATTTTTATATTAAACATCATAAATAAAACATTTTAATGTGTTTTCTTTTTGCTGTTTTATCAAAAAAAATAGCATCGATTATAGTATTTTTGGATAACAAATTTAACTTTCAATTGTATCATATTTGACTAAATTATTAAAGTTTTTTTTTTTTTTATTGAAAACTCAATTAGATTAACTTTTCGAAATATGAAACTTTCAAAACATGTCTGTTGTACAGATTATTCATAGAAAAGAGTCTATATATTGAAGTTCTCATATCTCGAATAAACTTTGCTTAAAACTTGGGAATTCTTTTAAAATGAAAGTCAATCAAGTTGAATTCTCTATATATGCACAAAATTTTATATCGAAATTCAAAAATAAGAATTTTTCGAAATCTTGAAGCTTCTAGCAAAAAAATTTAATAGGTTAATTAAATACCAATAGAAGTTCAGTTTTTATTAGAACATTACGAAGTAGTATGTTTAGGCGAATCGGAAGAGAACAGCTTAAAAAAAAATTTTTTTTTTGCGTGTGCAAAACTCTTGGTAGAACGATCATATTTAAAATGTCGGGAATGAATTTATGTTTCTCTAGGGAAATAAAATATTTTTCATAAAATCTTTACAATAATTAATGTATCTCCTGTTGAAGTGCACGTTTCTTTGTACAATCGAACAAGAAAACCTTTCTATGTAATAAAAATGCCTTTTGAGATGAAGCTTATCTCATCAAGTAGAGTCTATTAGAATGACAAAAAATGCTATAGTGGTTCATTCCCATGGGCTTTTATTGTTGACTTATCACGATTCTATTAGAGTTTTCTAATCGTGATAGAAGATACTTCATGACGGTACAAATGACATATATAGTTCTAACCTGATAATTTATTTTTTTTGTTACAGAAAATTTTTTATTGTTTTAAGTAACTTAATCTTTTTGTGTTCTTTATATTTTTTGAACATTCGAGAATTTCTCAAAGCTTTCTATAATCAAAATTTCTAGTTTAAAATAATACTACGCGAAACATTACGAAATTCTATATCTTTACTATGTAATCGTGTTATCTTTTTTTTTGCCATAACGAAGTTTTATGTATAAAACGATCTTGATTTTTTATCTATCGCTATGTTGTTTTTTTTCCCTATGTAAAACTCAAACATTTTCTTAAACACTATTACATTTATGTTAAGCATAAATGATTATTATATTGTCTACTCAAATTAAGATCGAGAGCATTGAGTGCATATCGAAAACAATTTTTTTCTTTTCTTTTCTTTTTTGTCATTGATTATTTTTACAATCATTTGACATACACATAAGAAAGAATGTTATTCATTTGCATGATTTACTTTGAAGGCAAGAGATTGCTTTTAACTAATGTATTTTCTTTCTCGGATTTTTACTCTATATATATATATATATACGACAAGGTAATTATCGCATTGTCAATAGCCATCGACATATATTAGTGACGGTAATGAATAACAGAAAAAAAAAAAAAAATAAAGAAAACTTTTAAATATGTCATTTAGCTTCTTGATAGTTACGTATATATATGGGTGGTAATTTTCTCTTGATATCATATATAAGTCTATAAAGAAGAAGCATAATATTGCATCGATATTTTAAGAATTTTTGACGAAGACAAAAACAAAACAAAAAGAAAAAAGAAGAAAAAAAAAATAAAGAGAAAAAAGAAAATTTTTAAACAGCGTTTGATGATAAAAGATGTTTAGATAAATGTGCAGCTTGACGTTTATTTTCTAATCCACGCATCATTGGATCATGTGGATTCCATGTTAACATTCGGACTGTTTTAGCTGTATGTTCAGTTAATGTATGAAATGATGCTGTAGGAGTTAAATTTGTACCTGTTGGTATTGTATTATTTAATAATGTTGCTTGAACTAATTGATGTTGTCGTCGTCGTTCAAAATTTGAATAATAATGTGATGTTTTATAAGCCATTTGATTTTTTCGATTTAAATCATATGATGAATCAGGATCTGTTGTATCTGACACATGTCGTTCAAGTGTAACAAGACATGATGGTTCTGTACAACAAAAACATATATGTTTATATAAAAATACTATAGCTGTACCAAATATACGATAGAATAAACGACAAATTATACGTTCAAAATCTGCACGAAAACGTGTTGATGTTGCCCAATAAAGAAGAAAATTAATAGCATGATTTGATTCACGCATACCTTTTTCAATAACAGTTAAATATGGATGAAATACACCCATACAGACTTGAACATTTTCATATAGATTTCGTGTAAAATGACATTCTGGATAATTATAAAATAGATATGCTATACACCAGTGTACATAATATGGACCAAGTAGGACAAGAAATGCAAATGAAGCAACCAGTAACATAACTGTTGTACCACGTTTTTCCACTACACTAAATAATAATTATAAAAATTTCATTTGTCTGAGGAAAACAATAAGGAATAAACAATGTGTTATTTGTTGATAGATTTTCTTAGAAACTCAATTAAATGATGTTTTTGATTAAGAATAAAGTTCAGATGGGTTTAAACAAAGCTACTCTAACTCCATTTTTCATATATGAATTGATGTATGAATATAAATTTCTTTTTAAGTGTTTTTTGAGAAATAATTATAGCAGATATCATATATTTATCGTTTACGTATGTCAATGATTAGCAAATTGAATTTGCGCTCTATGTTGTTGATTGATAGTTAACTGTACAAAATCAGCGATGTCTTTTAAAAGTTTTTTTTTTTTTTTGTTTTTTTTCCATAGAACGAAACAATAATAAGTATTACGTTATTATTGATATGATAATATTTAAGTTGATAGACTCATCTCTTAAGAATCATAGATTAGTCTTCTATTAAGAAAAAAATAATAGTAATAACACTTTGATGCTTATGCTATCAATAATATTTGTGCAACATCAAGAAAAATCTAATGATAGAAAAAATTTTCATCCCTTCCTATTATGTTATATGATAAATATTAATATTTGTTCGTCATATAAAACGATATTAGCATTTCTTCTATATGTCTATTGACCTTCTAAATGAATAACTAAATATATCTTATACGAGAATGCATATAAAAGTATTTATGTCATATTAAATTGTGGAAAAGAAATAAAAAAAAACAAAAGAAATTTTTTCGCGTCTGTTGTTGGTTGAGGTCAATCTAGTCATTAAGTCTATCTCTTCTTGAGTTATAGTAAAGACTTATGTCTATCAGAATTTTTCCTTTTATCAGACGATCGCATCATTATCAATGTATATCTCATTAAGCATGTTTTATGTTTAGCTTACAGATGAAAAACAATAAGACAGTATTGATACTAAAGAATTTTCATGAAATTTTTGTTTTCATATACATAAAAATATTCTAATTATTTTCTTACTTTGTAGAAAAACGTCTCATTGCACCATTTTCTCCTTTGGTCATAAAACGTTTTTTAGATTTTTTAAGTTCAATTATAATTAATAAATTGCTTATTGTTATACCAACAAATGGTAATATTGCATAGGAAAAAACAGTAAAAAATCCACGAAATATTTGATAATGATCAGCTTGTACTGTATCAAATGCTTCACAATGTAATGTACCACTTGTATAAAAAATAAAATCAAATGGAATTGGTACAACAAATATGAACATTATAAAAGCTAATAATGGTAAACGAAATTGATTAAATGTATGTCGACAAAATGGATATTTAATAACAATACAACGTTCAATAGCAATTAATAATAATGTTGTTGATGAACATTGACGAAAATATAAAAAAAATATTCCAAACATTTTACAAAATGTTGCCGAAGCTTTTAAATAAGTCATTACAGTACGAAATAATTGTGCAAATAAACTTGATGCTAAACTTAATAAATCGAAACATGTTAATGCAACAAATAAAGCAAATGATGTTGATCGTCTTAATGAACCAAATATTAAAACAAGAAAAACAAATGTATTTAATA